TCGTAGAAGTGCGAACTTTATACAAGTTTAGGTATCTTCGTAGAAGTTTATTGTTTAATGGCAGGGAACCTCTTTATTATTCAGGGACCTTTTTTATAACTTCAGAGCTTTGATGAAACCTCATGGACTTGAAATAGTTCAGAGAATTCCGCACAAATTCAGTAAATTTCGGGCGTCGAGCTTTGCGCAAAATCAACGAGAAACGTAGACGTGAAGCAAGCTTTGATGAAGTTTTGTGGACTGCGTAATAATTCGAGGAACTGCGTATAACTTCATAGAAGTACAGGGCATTTTGAAAAAGTTTAGGGAATTTCGTAAAGATAGAATACTTTAGGGATCTTCGTTTCAGTTTAGGGAACTTCATAGCAGTTTGCCAGAGATTTTAAAAACCTCAATGAACTTCCTGAAGATGAAGATTTTGGCCCACCGTTTAATTTCAAGGTACTTTGAAATTTGAGTAAATTTTCTAAAACCTAAGGAAATTTTGTAGATGTTCAGGAAACGTTGCATAAGTAACAGGATATTCTTTCAGATATGCTCCCTATACAGCCAGGAAGTTTTAAAAGATCAGCATTTGCTGATGTTCTTCTGATCTGAATTAGAGAGTTGCTAAAAAAAGGATGACTTAAGAATGTGCTTAAGTTTTTGAATATCATAATTTTTCAAATGGATAGATCAACTTTCAACACGGTATTTTCCAAATTTAAACCATACACTCTGGTAACATGGTGGCAACATGGTGATTTGATCGGTTGATCTGTTGCAGGTTGTAGCAATGGCTGTACCACTTTCTGGTTTGTTGTAGCGAGATGGTGGCGCTTTGTGGTCACTTTGTGGAATTGGTGCCGATACTCAGGCACTTCCTTCTGACACTGTTGGTATACAAACCCGAGCAAAGCTGAAGATCAAATTGAAATAAAAATTTGCTGTTATGATATAACTTATTTTGAACACTCCAGTTGATCTCATTTTGGTTGACTTAACGGTTAACACAGCAAAAATGAGAGCAAAATGTTACACTGTTGAATCAAACGGAAAAGTAATCCTGCTATCAATGAAATCAATTTGATTACTGATTTTGCATTCATGTTTAACTGAATACTTGCCTGGCGTAAATGGTTAGTATCCATGCTTCTCACGTTGAAAGACTTGAGCTCAAATCTCACCCCGAGCAAAACACGAATGACCTCAAATGTGTTATACAAAACAAATAAACAAATAAACAATAATCGTTATAAAGAGCTTTGAGTGTGTTGGTTTATTTCCTTTAAATTCCGTTATAATCACCCCTATTCTGTATTTCGTTTCGAACGAAATTCTCATACAAAAAAAAAATATTTTTTTGTATGAGAATTTCGTTCGAAACGAAATACAGAATAGGGGTGAATATCTTATCTTTTGACAGATACACGTATTTCGTCTACTACTTGCAGACTTCGTCAGTGCCAAGTACTCAACACCACTTGAGTACTTGGCACTAATGAAGTCTGCAAGTATAGTAGACGAAATACGCGTATCTGTCAAAATATAAGCAATTATAACGGAATTTAAAGGAAATAAACCAACACACTCAAAGCTCTTCATAAAAGGATTCCGTTAAATTAAAAAAATAATAATCGTTAGTTCAACAACATGAACTTAAATAAAATTTTAAACAATACGTTAACAGCAGAACTTCAAGTTAAGTTGTTTAAGGTTTTTCCTTGTAGAGTCCATTTTTCCATAACACCTCGCAATATGTGAAATTGCGAAGTGTAATACGAAAAAGGACGCTACAGGGAATCACCTTAAGTTATTTAAAAAGTCTTGACTGCATAATGAAAGCACAATATGATATCAGACTTCTGTCGCGGCAATTGAAATCAAAATTAGTTTTCATTATGATAGGAACTGCAAACTTTAATATCGATTTGCTTTCATTTTGTTAACCGACTTTGCTCGGGAAGGCAAGGTCGCCCCGTTATCTAACCGAAAAGGTTATTTCTTCTTAGCGATTACGGACATTGACGCGAAAACGATGCCATCGAAATCCGCAGAGCAATGGTCAGCAGAAGCCACCTAGATCGTACCGTGCCAACCAGAAAGCGATTTGAAGGAACAGAACAGAAGGTCGGTAGACTTGGTGATATTAATAATTGGAATGGTAAATATATCACTGCACTGTTCTACACGCTCATCTGAGTTAAAGCCAACGATGCCCGCTCATGTCACTATTTTGCTGCAACTATTTAGCATATACCGCGCCATCACCCAGTGGGTCACCGCTTCTGTTATAGAATTTATCTGAATGCTCGATCACATGAGGCACATTAAAAAAAAAATCTGAACATTTTTAAAGTAATGGTAACAAAGTACAAGTGAACGTGTAAAGGTAATACGCCAAGAAAAAATGTTCTGCAAAAAAATCTATCACCCATTGAATTATCATAACATTGCTGCATTTGTAGCATTCCGATATAATCTATTCGTATTTTGAATCCCATCTAACAAAATATACCAGTTGTGTTGCCGATGAATGGTTAAATTTCGTTGAAAATGTGTGAACGTCATGCAACGGTCAAATCCCCGTACTAAACAATACCGATTCACTTTTTGTAGAATTTTTGTCCATTCTATATTTTGAAAATAACGTGTGTGTTAGTCATGCAAGTGCAGTTAAGTGTTGAACCGGAAAAAATAAACAAAGAATATTCTAATTGACCGGCAAATTAATGGCTTTTGCTATTAGAGGATTTCAAGAATTTAAGCACTGCAAATATATGCTACCTTTCCTCTAAAATAGAATTTGTGCAAACGCAAATGAAATGTCGGTCAAAGCAACCAAGTTTCAACAGCCTGTATTTCGCTTACTTACACCTTCCAGAACTTCGAGCTCTGCAGTTCTAACATTAATTGTAGCACATGAGATGAGGCACATGAGATCAGCGCGAGCCTCGCGCACGCCAGGATTTTTGGGTGTCGCGTTTGTTTCTCGCTCGTATCTTATTCTCGCGTGTCTCTTTCTCGCTCGTCACATGTTGTTTTCGTTGCGACGGGAGACGGTTTGTTGAGAGTCTCGGCAGCACATTTTTGCACACACGAGAAAAATGTAACTCTGCTCGGAGCACTTAATTTTACACAACATGTTTGTTTGCGTCTCATCCTTTATGTCAAAGATGGATTCCGTCACGCGTAAGGTTAGGTATTTCTAAGTGTGTAGTGTTTTATCCTTCTTCCATATTGCTCCATTTAAAATTTCTATAGCTATTCTTATAGAAAATTTTCTCAGCTACAACTTTGCGAAATGTTGTTTTTTGAGCCAAACATTACATTAAATAGTTATTAATTTTTACTTTGACTATATGTTTTAGTATTACTTCTGCGTGAAGTCAACGATTTACATAGTTGAAGATGCTATTTCGAATAACAGACTGAAGCGGTAGTTTTTCTACGATAGATGAGGAGGAGATGAAAGTATAGAATTGATAGTTCCGTTTAGATTACGGCAGTGTGAACATTGCATACAGAAAGTAGAATAGCGAGCTAGGACATCTTCAACTAAGTTATTAATTATTTAAGAGATTGATAATCTTATGGCATGATCAAGCAACTGTTTTGTTGGCAACACTGTATTCTGCAGTGTGACATAGTAGCCATGATGTTTTCGCTCTATTCTACGCACCAGAAACATCAATGTTGCCTGTTGAGCAGTTGATTGGGCATAATCATAAGACAATAGTGACTTGAATCATTATTAACTTTTGATCCTTACATTTGATCGAAAAACAGTCTTGAACAAAGTTGTAGCTGTACAAATTTACTACAAGTACAGCTATCAATTTTTACAGCAGAGTAATAGGATTAATTATTATGTAGATATGAATACAAAATTGTGTTTTCCTATAGTAATTTCCATATAAACTTCAAATGGTTTGTGTCAGGCCAGTTTCTTACTAAATGACTTCAAATTTTGGAAGGCTAATCAGGAACCAAATTGGAACCGTTTGAACACTGTGGAGCGACAATTTCAAATTTTTCATCAGGCTAGTGTGGGTAAACGTTTATTTAATAAAAACACTACCACTTTTAATTTGTTTAATTTTTTTGCCCGTTATTTTAAATGAAAAATTGAAAAAGTATTCATTTATGCAGATTTTTAGAAATATTTCCTATCGAATGGTGTATTTGGATTTTAAATTCATCTATAAATGACAAAGTTATAAGCGTTCAAAACCTAACGCCTTTTCGTGACGATTGCAATTTTAGTGTTCCGATTTTCCCCCTATACCTTCTCGTCATAGGACGTATGATCCGTCTCACATTATTGTTAAATAAAATTACAAAATTACCTGTTCAAAGAGCCTTGGGACCTCCGACCACCTCTTAGGCCACTACCGGTTGTTTCAGAATCCCAAGGACCACTTTTCGCTCCGAAAGAACATGTGCATGTGACACATCAAATCACCGTGTATTCGTTTTTATATCTTGGCCTACACTTAAACGATAAGTGTTCATCACAGAAGCTTTGGCACAGTCGATTGCAATTAATCGTTAACAGGTCAGCGGATAACATCGCAATCGGGAAACTACTGTCAATATGATTTCAAACGGTGACATCGCGAAGTTTTATCTTCAATAGCAATCCGATGGTGAATTATTACGTTTTTTTTTATGTTGCAAAGAGAAGGAGCGAAAAGAAAATATCAAGCCATCAGCTCGGATATCGCGATGATTAATAGATTTAAATTCAATGTTTAAACCGAACTTCAAACATAGGCCTCGTTGAAGAAATATAATAATAGTGAACGGCAATCTGTTGCGTAACGCCAACCGGACAAAAACAAAAGTCAAGTTCAATGTTTCCTAAACGGGCCACACTCTCCGTTTCCACTCGAACACCGGAGCCATCCTATCAATTTTCATATTTACTTTAATTAACAGCCCCCGATTACAAAATTTCACACTAAATTAACTTCCATGCTTCCTTCCCCGGGAAAATTCAAACCCAACCCAATACTCACCAGATAAAATCCAAACAGCAGTATGAAAATATTTCCCATTTTTGTCGACGGTTAATTCAGGCGAGTGTAAACGAAACGGCTACTGCCAATAAGCGTGGTAGGCAAATGGGTGGGTGGGTGTGAGCGCCTTGCCTTCAGTACTGCTCTTAGCAAGAAAAGTCGGAAAATGTTGCGGTTGATGGATGTGCCGCACTCCTGGTGGGTAGGCAGGCAGGCAGACAGGCAGGTGACTTTGATTAGCAGCTACCTAGGTACTAGCACACGACTAACGAAACCAAAAAAGCGGAAGCGCCCGAAGCAGTCCAAGTGGAAGGAATTGGTTCACAGTCGATTTGATCCAGACGGCGCACGAGGAGTTCGTTATACTCGCACGATCACTTTTTTTCGGCTAATTATTCATAAGTGCATGCATATGCACAAGCACATTACCTTGCACCCGACAACCGTAACGCGTCTGGTCTTAGAAAGAAAAAAAAATATCACAGGTTTTCCTCCGTTCGAGTTACATCACTTGTCACTAATTAGCGCATTGAATGTGTCGCGCTCGCGCAAAGGACGGAGAGAGGTCGCTTTCTTATGGCTCAGGTTTTTCCTGCCTTCCATATGCAATTTCCCACCTGTTACTACCGCACCACTTCGCACTCGCACATGCAATTTGATCTTTATCGCGGCATTTCATTTGAATTCAAAACATCGCTCTCTGACGATCTTGCACCTGTTTTCTTCCGGAACTGCACTGCGTTCACACCCTTTTTAATTTTCGCACTCCGTTCCACTATTACACACTCGTTTTAATTTTTTTTTTTTTTGAATGGATATGGGAGCACCCGCACCGCTGTAGTTCGACAGAAAATTTCCTTCCCGAAAAAACAGAAAAATGCAAACACTTTCAGCCGAGCTTGCGCCACCGCGGGTCAGGAAAAATGCGTTTGAATCGAATGCTGGCCAAAGTGCCACTGACTGGCGCAATTTTCATCTCTTGCTTGTGCAAAAGCCGTGTGCCGATGATGGTTTCGCACTGAGTCGGTAGGTACACGCGCGCGCACGCCACTCAACCCGTCAAGCACAACCAAGAAAGCGTCCGTAGCTGAGTCGTGAGTGACCCAAGGAAATTGGCAACCGAATCGGAGCGAGCTATGGGTAGGGGTTGGCTGGGGGTTTAACCGTAGAAAAGCAACGAAACGAGGTTTGTCATTTGTCTTTGAGATTTTCAAATTCATAGTTATGATGAAGCAAATCGAAGTTCAGTTAAACTTTTAATGAACTATGTTGTTAGGAACAATTTGATTAAAGTGATCTAATATTGGTATTGGTCTCACACAGGACCCTTGATCTAGATGGGTTGAAATATAAAATGATCGTTGGAAGGGTTTAAAATGGTATTTCAATAATTACTATTAATCATAATTTTTTTTTTTGAAAATTGCATACAGTACTGTGGTGCCAAATTGATGGGACAACCACCATTTCAGTAAAACTATATAAAAAACACACGATAGCTGAGCCCTTTATTTAAAAAATATCAGCAAACATCTAACGTAAAATAATAAAAAAAAAATTAAACCACAAAATAGTTAAAATTGAATGTGAAAATGGTCGGACATGAGGCAGATATTAAATTTTCGTAGTTGATTACTACACGCTTAGAAAAAAAAACATGTCAATTTAGGTGCTCTGAGAGTGACAATTTTGACATACAACTCAGTCATAATAGACGCAAAATTCAGCTCAATCAAACGTACTTTTTCTCAAGCAACGAATTTTTCAGTCTCAGAGCACTTAAAGGGTGTCCTACATCAAATTGTACCACGAAAAAAAGAGTGTAAAGTGTATTGTTTACACTGTATTTTTATCACTGTCGGTTTTTTGAAAGTTGGAAAAAGTGGCGTCACCCTAAAAGCAACGTCGCGAATTCGACAGTGAGCATTCATAAGGGCCTATACGCGATGATCTATTCTCTTCGTCGTTTTTCTCTTTTGTTAATAACTCGCTAGATTTAACGTTTCTCGGTGCGTTTGCTGTTGCTTTTGATAGCCAATACGACCTGTTACTACTCTGCATTGAACAAATTCTAGAAAATTGTTTCGCTTAGCTGTAGCAATGCAAAGAGAAAATCGATGAAGAGAATCGATCATCGCGTATTCGCCCTTATGCATGCTCACTGTCGAATTGATTTTGCGCAAGCACCTGGCAAATCCTCAACTCTCTCATCGGGACTTCGGAAAACAATTCAGAATCGTGTAGTCAACGGTGAGTCGTGTGATTGAACGTTACTACGAAACTCTGAGCATCGAACGGAAGGAGAAATGTGGTCGGAATGGATATTCTATTAGTGATCAGGATTACAAACGTGTCGTGTAAGCGTTTAAGCGGAATCCCAATGGTTCGGTCAGGGATGTGGCCAAAACGTTGAATCTGTCCAAGTCTTTCGTTCAGAGAGCCAAGGACCGGGAGGGACTGCATACGTACAACGTGCAGAAGGCTCCAAATCGTGACGAACGGCAAACTCAGATGCTGACGAAGCCTCATTATCTCATCATGGATGATGAAACTTTCGTCAAGGCGGACTTTCGGCAGCTTCCGGGGCTACTGTTCTTCACCGCCTAGCACAAATTTAATGTTCCGGAGGAAGTAAGGAAGCATAAACTTTCAAAGTTTGCCAAGAAATACATGATTTGGCAAGCGATCTGCTCATGTGGTAAACGGAGTGCGCCGTTCGTGACTACCAGGACTATAAACGGGGAGATCTACCTCAAGGAGTGTCTACAGAAGTGTCTGCTTCCTCTGTTGAAGCAACACGAGGGCCCTACGATCTTCTGGCCGTATCTAGCTTCGTGTCACTATTCAAATGTTGTCCTGGAGTGGTACAAAGCCAACGGGGTCACTTTCGTACCCAAGGACATGAACCCTCCCCCCCCCCCCCCAACGCAACGGAGCCAAGGCCCATCGAAAAATACTGGGCTATTATGAAGCAGGCACTACGGAAGCATTCCAAGGAGCTCAAATCTGAGGAAGACATGATGTAAAAGTGGGTTTCCGCACAGAAGAAGCTGCAGCCAGATGTTGTACAGAACCTAATGCGTGATGTCTAGCGTAAGGTGCGAGCGTACGGTTATAGTGTTGAAGTTGAATGAAATAAATATGCCAAAAGCTTACTAATGGCTTATATTTTATTTTCTGAAAATTTGAAAAGGATCGGTCCACTAGGTAATGTTCTATAGAGATTTTTCCGTGATGCAATTTAATGTGGGACACCCTTTAATATAACAAAACATGTTTGTTTACGTCTCATATTTAATGTCAAAGATGGATTCCATCTCGTGTAAAATTAGTTATTTCTAAGTTTGCAACTTGAGTATTTGCCATCGAATTCACCAGCAACTTAATGGCTTCCCTGAGGTCATCCTTTGATCCAGTGCTTCCATGGAGGGTAGCGTCGTTGAGAAAGCTCAGATACAAATTCTTCGTTTCGTAGAAGCTGTTCTCAAATTCTATTCGGTGATTGTAGATCGTCGATATTTCAGCGATTCCGCGAGTGCACTCTTCGATTTCACTTTGCACTTTTTCAAAATTGTCACTCAAGTCTGTTAGTTTCTGTAATCGCTCTTGTACTTCACATGACTTTTTATGCTCCCACTTCATTCGCTCAAAAAGCACGTCGCGTCGATTTCGAAGGCCTTCCATGGCAACCTGGTCTATACAAGGTGTGGAGATCTAGCCCTCACGTATGTGTTGGTAGTGGGAAAAAGGTAAACATTGCGGGAGAAGATGACCACGACGTCATAGCAGTCGAAAGAAAATTTGTGAAATATGAAGTACAGCAAATTCTAGATATGTTTGCATGATGATTGCGCTTGCTTGTATGCTTTTGTAAAGTTTACGGAAAATATCAGCAGGCGTTTTGTATTATTATAGGAACTCCTTACTTGGAAACGGGCAAAAACTCACCAGCAGGCTGCTTTTTCATGATATACAGTGTGCTAATAAAATAATCAATACATTATCTCAGCATTCAGTAGAAAAACATTCATAAACTTTGGCTTCATACAGAAATTCTATAATTCATATTCAATTTCCAATGCAAACGCTGATTGAAACAAACGTTATGACGTAACTACGAGCGTGTTTGAGCGTCGAAAGAAGCAAATCGTGCGAAGCCGACTGAAAGCCGAGTGAAAAACGAACTGCACCAATACGTACAGGCCATCAATTCCACACCTTGTATAGACCAGGTTGCTTCCATGGTTCACTTGCGAAATCCAACCCGAAGGACCAAATGTACGCGCAGAGAACAAACGAAGGGAGCTCAAACACCGGCGGAGACGGAAGATCGTAATCCGGACTGGTAATAAAGGAATCGAATTTGAATAACAAGCGGTCTGTAAATTTATTCATTCCTGGTTGACGGTTACACGTGTTATGTATGGATTTTGGGTCTCGCACAGCGGAAGTCGTGCTTCAAAAAACTTTCTTGAAATTGGGTTCAGCCTTCTAAATCGAGGGGTAGCAATGGCTCGCGAACAGGTGGTGTGTCAAAAATGATGACGGCTTCGTACCGACTCAAAACCATCGGCGGCGGTGCACCGTTCTAATAGTCACTCATATTCCATCGAATTATTTTGAGCCAACATCACATTTCGAGAAGCTCTAGTTTTAAATTTTGATTCAGTCGGAGTCAGAGCCGGTCAGCGAATCAAAACACATAAAGCAACCAACGATACAGACAAACCGGTTGCTACGACTACTATGACAAACTCGCTCTGTAACATAGCTCGATCGGACTGGTAGAAGGATAATGATATATTGCTTGCCTGCTTTGTTGCAATATACATGAATGAGGACATAGCTTGATCTGGATCGAGAAAAGACATAACAAAAAATTCCCATTAACACACGTGTATCATCTTCGGGTTTACTTCGTGAAGCAGTTTGCTAACAATTTGCTCGTTTCCTTCTACCGCCCCGAGTGAGCTGTGTCGCACGGGCTGCTTGTCATGGAAAAAATGGAAGAAGATTATATCATTATTGTTTTCCATTTCTGACATAGCGTTATCATTCGGTTCGTTTATCGCTTGTCATTTTGTCATTTGGAGATATTTTTGATTCCTTGGAGCCGGTATTTTTTCTTCGTCTTCAATTCTGACTCCTTAGGCTCTAAAACGCGCCCGACTCGGACTTCACGACTCCAACTCCTCCGCCCTGAAAAAAAAGTTGAGGGTTGTGTCCAAAGCACGTAGAACTGCGAGATTATTTTGCTGTTCCATTCAATAATATATAAATGACAAAATAAATGGTTCAGGAATTTAATTGAAAATTCGAAACTCTTGTAATTTTTCACGGATGCCCATTGGAACTTTCATTAGAATTCACTTGAAATTATATTTCTAATTCCCTCAGAATTCAATACTCTCGGAATTTCTTTGAAGTTCTCATAAGAACTCTCTGTACATTCTTCTTGGAATTTATTTAGAATATTCATTAGGAATTAACCTGTAATCCTCTTAACAATCATCAAGTAATTTCACACAAAACCACCTAATAATTCTACTTTGAACTTAAACCGTTGACTTGGCGTTGTAGTCAAAACTCTATAAAAATACTTTCAAAAGCTCCATTGGAATTTGTATCGTACATACCTTATTATTTCTAGAATTTATTCATAAATTTCCTCTAAATTCCTTTGGAATTTTTAACAAAATTATCAAATTAAAGGGTGATACGGTCAAAATTTGGTCAATATCAACTTGACGTATTTCTTTCAATTTTGCATTTAAAAAACCTGAACACCCCTCATTTTGAAGGTGTGTGTGTGTAGAATGTTGCTCCTATTTTGATTTTGGAATTCACTCTTCAGTTGTCAAAATGCCGTCCAAGCAATAAGAGCAGCGTATCAAAATTTTGCTCGCGCATCGCGAAAATCCGAGCTACTCGCACGCAA